CTTTGTTCTCCTGTGTGTGCATGTGTCAGTCTTTGGCAGGAACTGAAATGGAAGAAGAATCAAAAGAGATTGAAGAAGCAGGAAAAGAAGGCAGCTGAGGCTGCGAAGAAAAGGAGAGAATCCAAGAGGCCAGAAAGGCAGGGCTTTTGTTTCCAGAGAAAGGGCAGGTCATTTAAAAAGAAAGGTGGGGGATCTGCTCACGTTTTTTCCATAGGATTCTGTAAAAGTGTCCACTATGATTCAAAAGGGTGCTGTTCAAACAGAGGTGGGGGATTTGCTCACATGTTTTTCCAGGGGCAGGGCTGCGCAGGTCAAGGGTGCAGCTCCAAAGAACGTGAGTGGCAAGGGCAAGAAGCGCAAAGCCAGCGCATCCAGCCCCAGCGATTGAAAAAACAACTAGTGGCACACAATAGCACACAGCGGCACACAATAGCACAACTTGCCCAGCAGCAGCAGCACAGATCAATGACAATCACGGGCAGCTGGCTGCGCCATGTTTTACAACACATCGCGCACACACACAGTACTCCGCTGGGCAAAAAAAGATGTTGCAGCACTGCATCTTGTGGGTAGACGCTGTAAAAGTGTCTACAAATTAGGCTTTCGGGCAAGACTGTCGTGTGGAGATGCTGTAAGAGTGTCTGTCCATGAAACAATCACAATTAGAAATGTAAGTTGCATTCAGTTTTCTGAAATCATGGCTGCCCAGGTACATGGCTTGACTGTGAGGAAAGACATCAAGAACACAGGAGCACTCTTCAGAGCACAATCATACCATTGAAAGATATTGAAAGTCATGTTTAATTGCCATGTGCCAGCCACTCTTACAGCGGTATTTCAATGCTTGCCAATGCTTGCCAATGCTTGCCAATGCTTGCCAATGCTTGCCAACAACGACACTGAGGTTGCAGCCATGATGCCTGTATACGTATACTATATGTTTTCTTTGTATAAATCTAAAAAAAACATAGAATGTCAAGTCTATATAAGCCATGATGCACCTTGCTTTCCAGCCACTCTTACAGCGGCAATTCGGCAATCCAACGCTTGAGAGCATAATTATACCATTGAAAGATATTGAAAATCATGTTCAATTTCCATGCGCCGGCCACTCTTACAGCAGCAATTCAATGCTTGGCAAGAACGACACTGAGGTTGCAGCCATTGTGCCTGTATACTATACTCTTTATCTCATAAGCATAGATGATGGGATAGGGATGATGGGAATAAGGTGGGTTGGTGATGGGGTGGGATGGTGATGGGGTGGGATGGTGATATGATGTGGATGGCGGGATGGGGTGGGTAGTCGGTGGGGTTGTCTTTTATTTATTATATAGGTTTTATAGCTGGATATTGCCGCTGACCCCGCCTCTGAACTTGATGTGAAAGATCTTGAAGCTTCCGGACTCTTGGTCTTCTCGCAGTGCAGGTCGTAGGTCCAGGCACTTTTACAGCGCCCTTCAAGCCCAACCCTTGCAGCACTCTTACAGCGCTGTTTGGACACTTTTACAGCATCCGGGGATTAGTACTCTTACAGCACTAAGAGCCCCCTCCCCTTGGACACTTTTACAGCATCCGGGGATTATCACTTTTACAGCGCTGGATACTTTTACAGCATCCGGGGATTAGTACTCTGACAGCACTAAGAGCCCCCTGAGCTTAGTCCACCTAGTTTTTGAGACGAGCGACTGAAGACGGTGAAGATGACCTGAAAGTTCAAGAGTGAGCACGGCACAGGAAAATTAAAACAATGCGCCACCATTATCGGATACCTTTGGCAAGTATGTAGCAATACCAATAAGTTCCCTGTCATTATCTTTAAACCTATATATAAAATTGTTTGGCCAAATTTTTGGAAGCCACTTTTACAGCGGCAGCAAACGGTGGAAACTGTTTTCAATTTGCAAGCCACTTTTACAGCAGCAATAGCAAGATGCAGCGATAAGTATTCTCATTGCCAGCACAAGTTGCAATTGAGATGCGGTCCAAAGCACACATGGCTTGAAGGCTGCAGGGCAAGAAACAATGAAATCAAACATAGAAATACCCATTGAATTGAATCTGATTGATTGTGTTTGCCTTATTGTATTTGTTTGGTCGCCCTGACCCCCCCTCCTTCAACTTCTCAGTCTGTCCGATATGGGCTGCAGCATCACAAAAGATCAATGTTTTCTGTGGTGGCAGGTTGAAAAGAGGTAACCACAAATGACTTTAAAACGCCATAGTTACCCATTATGTACTTCAGCGTCAGACAACAAAATGGATACTTCAACGGCATCCGGAAGAATCAAAAAAAAGGCGCTGCAATATGAACTATGATAGATGCTTTTTTTGCACGGACCTGGAACTTACATCAGAAAATTTGCTTAGCACATTGTATGAGATGACTTTTGAATAATGGAGGAGAAACATCAAAAACACAATGTTGTTTGAACAGCACCCTTTTGAATCGCAGTGGACACTTTTACAGCATCCCATGGAAAAATGTGAACAGATCCTCCCACCCATCTTTTTAAATGTCATGTGACATGTGGTAAATGTTGATCTTCATAATTTTGTTTGTTGATCTTTTCCAAGAATCACAAATAAAAAACCCATCACCAAAAACCAACATCAAAAACAAAATGTTGTTTGAACAGCAACCTTTTGAATCATTTTGCAGCACCCCATGGAAAAATGTGAACAGATTCCCCACCTATCTTTTGGAATGACTTGTGACATGTGGTAAATGTTGATCTTCACAATTTTGTTTCTTGATCTTTTTCTAAGAACCAGAAAAGAAAACCCATCACCAAAAACCAACATCAAAAACGACATGTTGTTTGAACAGCACCCTTTTGAATCATAGTGGGCACTTTTACAGCACCCCATGGAAAAAATGTGAACAGATCCTCCCACCCATCTTTTTAAATGTCATGTGACATGTGGTAAATGTTGATCTTCACAGTTTTTTTTCTTGATCTTTTTCTAAGAATCATAAAAGAAAATCCATCACCAAAAACCAACATCAAAAACAACATTTTGTTTGAACAGCACCCTTTTGAGTCATAGTGGACACTTTTACAGCATCCCATGGAAAAATGTGAACAGATCTCCCACCTATCTTATCTTTTTAATTTGTGACATGTGGTCAATTTTGATCTTCACATGTTTGTTTCTTGACCTTTTTCTAAGCAGCATAAACAGAAAAATAATCACCCTCTATTTGTGGAAAATTTTGATCTTCATATTTTGTGTTTTTTGCTTTTTGCTGAGATTTAATCAACACCAAAATCAAAATGGTAAAAGGTGGCAAGGGCTTAATTGAGCGGTAAGCCGATCCCTGGTTTCTTGCACATCCAATGGTACAACCTTGGGAACTTTTTGTAACACGATGTGGTCATCAATTGTCAGCATCTCATAGCATGGTCCCCGTGGAATAGGCCGGCGATGGATCATGGTTTCACTATCCAGCATAGCCCCTGCATGAACACGTAGAACATTGAAATGAGCTTGTTGTGCAATCTCAACGGCGAGGTTATCCCCCATAGCCAATGTACCCAAACAGATATATACCCATTGGTCCTTAAGGTCATCAGAATAACACTGCAAATGCCGTAGCTCATGCCCACGAAACCGCTTACCAATCGCGTTTCGACCAGCCCGTCTGGATGATACCTGAAATGTATAATAAAATTCAGAAAGGTCATCACTGCTAATAACCAGATCCTCATGAGGTAGAAGACGAATCATAGAAATCATATGCCCAGGGGTTGAGGTCTTGGTGAACTTGTTGGTGGACTTCATCCGGGAGTTTAATACTGTAGGGTTCAGAATAAGCCGGTCATAGTTCTCATCTTTAGATACTGCAAACATCCCACAGTGCTCCCCTTCACGAATTGTCGAACACTTCACCAGCTTGCAAGCGCCGAGAGCATCCCATTTTTCTGCCAACCTCAGCAACTCAGTGCGCGAAGCATGGACCGTGGCCGGGGCCCGTCTGGGCCACTCATCTTCAGGCAGTCTAAGAGTCTCAGGGTCTTCAAAACCATCTCTAACAACAGGGTCACTGAGATAAGGTCGAGGGTCAAAGGAAGGCCCAAGTTTCCACTTAATCCTATCCGCAATGACAGGTTTTGCAACACTAGACTCCCTGCCTGAGACGCCTGACGGTCTCCTTGCTGTGTGGCCCTTTGCGGCACTGGTGAAAACGACTTGCAATTGCCAGAAGGTGCAGAACTGCCATCCGTAGCTCCATCATCAAAAGGAGGTTTTTTTGCTGCTTACCATAGGGGTCAAATGAAGACGAAATACTATCTAAAAAACTATGCAGATCCGAGTCACCAAAAGAATTTCCGGAAGGCAACTGCAAACCTGCCTTGCACAAATTAGCCAACTTCTCTCCTGCGCGGCCTAGCTCAGATACATCAGCATCGGGAGCGCTCAGAAAATGATGAATCATCTCCTCCAGTCTTCCCAAGGCCTCGTCTTGAGCAGGCGTGGTGGCCGCACCCGCCCTACATGAATCGGGCGGGGACAGGGAGTTTCCCAAAGTAAGCCAGTTCAGAGTGATGACGACAGCCTGAAGAACTTGCGCTCTCAGCCTAAAAAATCGCACCCGTCGCCGGCGTCTAGGAGACAGTTTGGCCTGGCCCGTCCAACAACCCCAGCAAGGGGAGGACAAGGCCATACATCACTGGACCGAGGAGTCGATCCATGAGCGGCGTGAGTGGGCCGCAGGCTGCGCCGCCAGAACTGCTTCAAGCCTGAGTGACGCTGCTGGGGAATGACCTCCATCAGTTTGATGCAATGAATTTCAGGGGGACAAAATTGCCCAGGCACTTCAAAGCTGCGTCTGGAACCACCCTCAAAGCTTGCACTCTTCAGGCCACCGCTGTCAGCAGCCCCTTTTGTTGACCTGCTGGCCTGACCCGCCCCCCGACTGTCAATCACGGTAGAGGTGTACCCCCTCCGTGCTGAGGAAGTAGAGCACAGCAAAGGTTTGGGCCAGGCCTTTCGGTCTACGCTGCTGCGGTGGTCGTGCTGTCCTCGCCCTTTCCCTGACCCTTGTTCTTTTTGGGCGGGAACTTCCTGGGCGGCTTGTCCTTCTCCTTTTCCTCCTCCTTTACCTCTTTGGTGGGACCCGCTGCCTTCAACTTCTGCTCGATGAAGTCGAGGTCTCGCATGTAGGAGACATTGGCTGAGATCCATGCCGGAGCTGCCAAGCGCGCAAACAGGCGCAGGCCGGCACGAGCTTTGTTCCATTGGCAAATCTGATAATTGGGTTCGGCTTGTCCTGTCAGAAGCCACCCCATCTGAGTGCGCCCATTGTCGATTGCACTTTGCTCCACGTACAGCAGGGCCTTGACCGCCCAAGCTTGCAGCTCGCGGTTTTGCAGCCGATGCCCGCTCTCCCAAGCTGCAGCCATGAGATACGCAAATTGCGTCATCTGCCGTAGGTCTCCAAGCGGCATCCGCCGCTCCACATACTCGCGCATGAGCCCCGGGGTCGCACCCCCGGAATCCCAGCCTAGTTCTGCCAGGGCGTTCTCCTCGGCGACCTGGGCAACTTTGTGAAGGTCGTTCATCACCCTGACATAGGCGTCTCGAGCCAGGCATCCCTTCATGCCGCTGGAACTGGAGGAGCCCGTTTCCGTGTGAGGCATCAGAACAGCTGCCAGAAGATCGGTCTGCTGCTTGCCCTGCAACTGCTTGCTGAGCAGAGCGTTCTGCTTCATCTGCAAGGCCACAAGACGATGAACTGGATCCTGCATCTCCGCCAGGCTGGCCACAATGGCCTCTTCGAGCTCTTCGTCTTCTGTAGCCCCCAGTTGCCGCTCCTGCTGTGCATTGTCTGCTGCCAGGTTGGGAGATGCAAGATGAGACTACTTCTCGTGCTGCCCCAACCGCGTAGGTGCTCCACCTGCCAACATGCGCAGCTTCTCCATGACATGAGGATCCGCAGCAGCCGTAGGAGTGCCGCCCAACATAGGAGCAGGGCGTGAGGTTGCGCGCTCGGGCGCGCCAGCTGGTACCCTTGGCCTCACAGCCAACTCTGCCTCTAGCTCTGCAATGCGCTGCTGCAATTGTTCGACATGGCCGTCCTCCTCCACAGGGATCAAAGGCGGCATATCGGCGCCGCTTTCGGCGGAGGCATAGTCCCCAGCCGTGTCCTCGTCCATGTGGCTTGTGACCCAAGCATTTGCAGCTTCGATAAGTGCCGCTTTCGTAGGCCGCACTACCCCACCTTGGTGTTGAAACCGCAGCAGTTGCCGAGCCGCCTCCCCGCGAAGCGCTGGAGCTCGGGTGAAAAAGCTTGAGTATTCCCAAGGCACGTCCACCAGCAAAACTGGAACTTGACCGACAGCTCGCCCACGCGTTGTCTCCATCTGCACTTCGGCTTGAGTAGAGGCAAACAGTCTGTCTTCTTCTGCTAATCCCTCTTCCTGGAAAAACGGGTCTACCTGAGGCAAAAGAGGTGCAGCTACCATGAACCCACCAGAGCGCACACGTAGTAGGAAACATAGTGCCCGAAAAGGAGGATCACCTTCTGATACTACATGAATCTGGGGCAATGGAGAATCTGCAGAACTGGCAGCCCCAGCCAGTTCCCGGAGATCCGCTTCAGTATAAGGCCCTATGGGTACGCGAGAGGCCATCCCGCCTCTGCACCCAACAAATAGGCCTCAACTTCTGTCCTTGTGGCAAAAGCGTGGGAAACTGAATCAGGATGAAAAGGGCTCTGATTCCCACCTGATACTGCCCTGGCGTAGACTGCAAACTCGGTGGTCCACCCCGCTCTCTGGCCAGGCCTGCCTCTGAGGACCACGTACACGGTGTTCCGCAAAGGAATAGATGGAGACTCCAGAAAAACAGGGTCGCCGGCCAAATTTGACCGAGCAATCAGCCCAGCTCTGTAAGCCCTGCCCAGCCTTGCCGCTGGAGTCCAACCACCGCGGCAGTCAGCCCTCAGCCGCGGCAGCAAATGCTCAACGACCTGCAGATCTAAAGCAAGAAAATCCTGTGGAGACCTTGCTACCAAAAGCTCACGTTCCAGCAAAGCTCTACGGTCCGCAACCGAAGTAGCGGAGGCCCGAGGGCCAGCAAGGGGTGTCTCCCCTGCCGACTGAGAAGAAGTGGCTCTTGTCAAAAGTGGGCTTCCGCCCCCTACACTTTCACCCGCTGAGGGAGACCGTGAATGGGATCCTGCTCTACTTCTAACACTGATCTCCAGCTCCCCAAACCGTAAAATCAATTCAGAATCGGAACTATCTGAGAGGTCTGTGCCGGGCATCAACTGAGGTGATCACGGTACTGTGCTAAACGGCCTCTAAGATCCAGATTGGGTCGGAGGGTTTGAGGCCGATTGGGGAGCAGAAATGAAGCAGCCGTCTGCAGCGCAAATCCGACTAACTGTCGGCACCCAGGACTAAAAATCAGTGCAGCAATCAGGATACCAAATACCAAGCCCCCTAGCGAAGAGACCAGTGCCACAAAGACCAGAAATAAGGCCGAGAAGCCTTGGCAGTCACCACTTGCAGAAGCGCCGAATAGAAGCCTGATCTCACGGACAAAGTCGGCCCACAGCAAGGCGCCCATGCGGCGCGCACACCCTGAAGATCTTGAGCCAACGTTCCTTGGCAGGCTAAAGTGATAATTCCATATATATATATCTCTCTCTCTGTGTGCGAGCACCTGTGTGCAGAAGCACCCCTTTGTAAAATCATCTCTGGGTAAAACCATCTTTGTGTGAAGGCCCCTCCCTGTGTAAAGGCACCTGTGTAGAAGCAGTTCTCTGTAAAAACATCATGTATGCCTCAGAGCCTCAACGGTAAAAATCAGAGCGGATGGAAAGTTGATTCCAAAATGGTTTGAGCCCTTCCGGAAATCCTGTTTCCAGTGCGCAGGTTCCTCTGCCTAGTCTAAAAGCACCTGTGTGCAAAAGCATCTCTGTGTAAAAGTATCCGTGCAAAAACATGTCTTTGTAAAAGTATCTGTGTGTAAGAGAAAACGCCTCTGTACGAATGTATTTCTGTGTAAGGACATCTCTTTGTAGGGGTATTTGTGCTTAAGAGTTTCTGTGTTTCAAGGATACCCTGCGTCAAAAGAACCCTTGCGTACAATGCACATGTGTTTAAAAACATTCCTGTGTAAAAGCATCGCTGTGTAAAGGCATCTGTGTGTAGAAGTACATGCGTGTCTGTGGGTGAAGCTCCTCTGTATAAAAGCATCCCTGTGGAACAGCACCTGTGTGTAAAGGTAGTATGCGTATAAAAGAATCTCTGGGCAAAAGCATCTTTATGTGTAAACGTCTGTTCATTAAAAGAAAAACGGTCTTCAAAAAAAGCATCTCCGTGTAAAAGCACCCGTGCGTAAAAGCATCCTAAGTATAAGCATCCCTCCATGTAAAAATGTAAAGCATCTGTGTACAATATATTCGGTGTTAGAATCGCTATGTAAGCCATGCACTATTTGCACAAAAATTGCTCGGTAGCTGCAGCATTTTGCAGCTAGCACTGGTGAACTGCATGGTATGCAACATCAGGTCGTTGCACGGAACTTTGTCACCGCACAATATTTTGCAGCAGTGCGAAGCTAACATCTGCAAATTGCATGATGTTTGCAAGATTTGGAATCATATCTGAAAATTGCGTTGTGACTTTACAGGGTTCTGAGGCAAAAAAACTGTACGCTGTAGAATGTTTGCGCCATTAAACCAGAACTATCACTTGCACAGTATGTGCAGCATACTTGGTGAAAATCAATGTATCGCATGGTGCTTGCAATATTTTGAAAGTATCACTTGTAAACGGCGTGGCACTTGCACATGTTGCAATTGACATCTGTAAATTGGATGCTATAGTTACGGCTTTCGGAAGCTCGAAGCTTGCAAGTGGAATGGTACATATGTGCAGCAGCATGTTGAAATTATCATCTGCACATTGCAAATACTGGCATTGCGTTTGCAAAACTGCACAGTGCCTGCCACGTTTTGAAAGTCGTCGTCGTCCTCCTCATCATCATCACCATCATCACCATCCTCATCCCCACCATCATCATCATCATCGTCATCATCATCATCACCATCATCATCGTCGTCATCATCCTCATCCTCCTCCTCCTTCTCCTCATCATCATCATCACCATCATCATTATCCTCATCTTTATCCTCATCGTCATCATCGTCACCATCGTCACCATCAGCAATCATGATCGTCGGCATGACAACAGCAAGGCGCCGCAGCAAACTACTTGGTTCACGGCTCATATTTCGCCATGAGTCAAAATGACATTTCGGTGATGTGTATGTCGCACTCAAATCATCGCAATTACATTGGTTTCTACTTGTCGTGTGAGTTCAATGTTTGCAAAAGTGCGATTTTTCTCTTCTGCAAAATGCGAGTAAACTAGTCGGATCTTCCTAATTTTGTTACTAGGTGATCAGTTTTTAATAAGGAAATTTACACATAAGTTGTATCACTTTAAGCACTTGCACTACTTATAAGTCAACTTAGAAAACTTAGCAATCGATGATTTTTTCATTTAAGTGCTAAATTCCCTAAGCTTAACTTGCAAAACTTACAAGTTTTCCAAGTTTTTTTGCTTCAGGAAGCATTATGTTTCGGTTTTTTTTAATCAGTGTCAAAAACAAAACCTTTCATGTTTCTCCCCAAAAAGCTTGAATTGGCTTGTGTGCGTTTCCATGAACCGCACGAAAAGGAATTTGATGATGCTGCAAGGCCACCTTTAAGAAAATTCATTGCTGATCCTATTATTTGTTTTAAAAAAGGACTCAATGAGCCGCTTCGGTGTGCAACCATGGCGTGCAGACGTGCAACCAACGTAGCATCCATAGCGTGCAGATGTGTCACCAACGCAGCAACCGTGGCGTGCAACCATGTCACCAATGTAGCAACCGTGGCGTGCAGACGTGCAACCAATGTAGCATCCGTAGCGTGCAGACATGTTACCAACGTAGCATCTGTAGCGTGACGTATTTTAAATTCCGTAAGAAGACACCCCACCCCAGACGTAGCCACGCATCCGAGAGAATACACGTCTATGCGGATGCAACAGCCCCCACCGCACCCCACCCCACCCCATCATAACCTCCAAAATGAAAATTAAAGGACCGGATAACCCCACATGTTACCAACTTCTTTAGACTTAGACTGAGCAGAGAAAGCGAGAAGGGAAGAGGAAGTATGAGAGTGATGGAGGGACGATGGTGGTATGTATGTAGGTATGTATGTAGGTAGGTGAGTTTGTGTGTGTGTGTGGGGAACAAACTGTTGGTGTGCCTGACATATTGAACACCATATTATGTTTAACACACATTCAAAACAACCTCAGGCCAGCACCTCGCAACCCAAGACCTTGGCTCCTAAGGCGCTTGCGTTATGCATTCTGGCGCTTGTGTTGTGTTTCTCTGCTGTTGACCGAACCAGGCTTTGGCTCCTTATCAAAACGATGGTGTGCCTCAGGCCAGCACCTCGCAACCCAAGACCTTGGCTCCTAAGGCGCTTGCGTTATGCATTCTGGCGCTTGTGTTGTGTTTCTCTGCTGTTGGCCGAACCAGGCTTTGGCTCCTTATCAAAATGATGGTGTGCTCACCATACTTTCGCTGACCAAAGTAATGTTCTGCACTCTTTCGAGCGCAGCCGCACATTTTGTGAATTCTTTCTGCATGCCCTGTGGCTGGTAAACATCGCTGGCACATGATGATGATGATGATGATGATGATGATGATGATGTCTCCGACTGACTGCTGCGGAACAAACATCAGTTCACATCGGTTCGTCCAATTTCTTTAAAAAAAACTCATCGTCAAAACTCCCGGAACTGGAGCTGCAGCCCAGAGGCAAGAGCCTGCCTTGGAGTAGTTGCTCACGGAGGTGCTGAGTCAGGCGACGAACCGACCTGCCCCCCGCCAAGGTGGGGGAACCATCCTAGCCGCTAGCCCCTGAGAATATTGTAATAGGAACGGGCAATATTTACATATAATATATATATATATTTGAAATATATAAAATATATATATATTTGAACAGTGTAAGCAAATCGCTAAGGTTGTCAAATCGAAATATTCCATAGCTGTGAGACAATGATTCGACGATATGCACCGCATCACAATACGTGACCAAGTGTGTAATGTCATGGCGAGCCTAACTAAAACTTTTGTCAGTCCCGAGATTGTCCTGCAACAGCTTGACGCGATTACTGCTTGCAGCAGCTGAACCAAAGCGCGCACGAGGACAACCTGGTCGTCCGTCGCGTTTTGGACGGAGGTGGATACCCTCGCAGGCAGATAGCCAGTCACACGTCTCGTGTGTGTACATGTTGAGTTTGTCTGCTGATAGGTGGGAACCACATGACACCACCGCCAGCCACTGTAACGCGTCCATCTGTTTCGCCTGGGCAGTGGCGAGGTGTTTCTCCTGGCTTCAAAACAG